TAGGTCGGGAACGCAACATCAAAACCCATCGGGCGGACAGGGAGAATTCTTTACAAACTGACAATTGGGGTGAAAAAGGAAAAAAATGTTTACTCAACTAAGTGATAGTGATCTTATTTATTCTAGCTCAGCTTTTCCTTAACAGTATATTATTATTTTTAGTTCAGCAAGGATAGATATTTAAGTGATTTACATCCAAAGAAGAAAAAATGGCTCTGAATTGTTAACGTTATACATATTTTTAATGCAGATTTAGTCACAAGTTGAAACATAAACTCAGATTAGTTTAGAAGCTGGCATATCTGGATAATTAATGTGAGAATTTATCCTTTCTCCCACAAGAAAAAAGCGCAATGATTTTACGGCATCGGCTATACTGTTAAGGGTAATCGATGTAAGTCGTTTTACAAAGATAGTTCCCACTCATAGTTAATTGTTTTCAACTATACGGACAGCAACATCCTCCCAAAACCTAAAGACAAGGGTTGACAATTTGGCAAAAAGCGGGGTTTACCAACTTAATTGTAACAAGTACTATATTCAACGCCCCAGATGGCAAAGACCAGTTTGTCTTATGGATATGTATAATAATAATATTTATTGCAATCTTATCATATAATAAAAGACTTTATCTTCTATTTTTTTCTTTCCAAAAGGTAGATTGGGGATGTGGCCAGGAAGACAGAAACATTTATTTTCTTGTCGAGCTTTCGGCAGAATATATCGCCTTCATCAGGACTCTGTATTAACAAATGAACATAAGTAAATTTGTTAATACAGAGTTCTGATGAAGGTGATATATTCTGCCGAAAGCTCGACAAGAAAATAAATGTTGTTTCTGTCTTCCTGGCCTCATCCCCAATCTACCTTTTGGAAAGAAAAAAATATATTTAAACTGAGAAGGCTGATCAATCACCAAAGAAAATACATTATCTTCTGTTTTTCTTCTCGTATTCAGCAAAATGCCAAAAGAATAGTTTGAATTTTCAATTAACAAACCGTTGAATACTAAACAAAATGATGCGTCTAGGCTTTTAAATTAGACATTACATTTGTACCCCTTTCAAATTTTTTTACAGAGGTTGCGTCAAAATAAAAGATTAATATCTTCTGATTTTTTGCGCAGTTTGCTAAGAGACGCGTTAGCAAGGAAGACAGTACTTCCTGCTGACTTGTTTCCGCTCTTTCAATTGAAGTTATTCTTCGCATTCATAGAAATATGATAACAGTATATCTGAAATTTATTTTTTATTGTGTGGGTAGGGTGGACGCATTGGATGGACGGTAACGAAAAGGCGGACGAGGCGGCTAAGCCCGAACGCCCAACCTCTGGACTTAGCCACCACCATCCGGCCCGCCGATGCACAGAAGCTCTCGCGGATCAAGAACCCTGTCGATGGGTGGTCCTCGGAGGATCTGTCTCATCCTCACCCGATTTAGGATAGGACATGCGAGGTTGACAAACGGACGCATACTTTTTGGGCCAAGTCCGCGTTCGTGTCTGGCATTCTGAGAAAGGTTGCTCGATGTCTTCGACCTGATTGAGGAGTACAATTCCTTGGCTCCATATGGAGAGAGAGCGAAGGAATGCCACCCGAAATATTCCTTGAAATACGTCCTATGTGGTTCTTTCGTTTTGTGATTAATCATTTACGTCAGTTCAGTTAGGACCGCCAATTTGTGGGAAGTTGTTAGGTTCATCAGCACATTGATTTGAAGTTGTGTTTTGCTTCCAAACTACCGTAGATAGGGAAGCCTTGTATTTATGCAAGAACAATTTTCTCCTACAAAATTAAAATTTCCACTCCTATTATGCGCTTCAGAACTTTCTAATTTATTATATTCTTCCATTGTCCTTCTTTAATAAGTACTCCTCCAAAATCAAAATTTGCACTCCCATTTTGTGTCTAAACCTTTTCGAACAAATTTCTGTCTGCGTCTGTCTGTCTGTGTGTGGTCAATTCCTTGTAACCGGCAGATCAATTTTTATGAAATTTTCAGAGGTTGTGCTGGTTGGTTTCTAGATGGTCCCGTATGAATTCATTCAAATATGATCAACGGTATTGCCTTCACATGCACAATCGTATAATTGCGTACTCGGCTATATATCTTAAAAATTTTCAGGTTTTCATGCAATTTTCAGAGACCATGCGGGTTGCTTTTTAGATGATCCCCTTTATATTTTATTCCAAACGGATCATATGCACATGCGGATGCATCAAATGTGAGTATAGAATGCACTGTATGTGACAAACTTTTTTGCTCACCTCATGATTACGGGAACGAACTAGTGCCAAACAACAATTTGACCCCTTCGAACCACCAAAAATACAAGTTTTGTCACCAGCGAAATATCCAGGCGAAACTACTAGGTGAACAAAAAGGGTAACACCTTAGTGTTAAACATATTGTCTGAAGTTGGATTCCTTTTTTCAATAGCATTCAGGATATGTTTGACTGTACTTCCCCCCATCCGGAAATAATTAAAATAATATTGAGCGGAAGCGTACAAATCTTTCTTCAAGTGAGACCACTATCCCAATTCTTTCGATTCGCAAAAATATCGATGAACCCCTCTGTTCTCCGTTTTGATGAGTTTTGTCTATTGCAGATAGCGTTCCGTTAAATCTGCGTAGGCGCACATCAGTTAATTTAAGCGTTACCGTTCTCGCTAACGTTATGCAAAATCTCCTTGTTGACTTAAAAAATGATGTTTAGTTCTGAATATTCATTTATCTAATAAATGAACTTTGTTTTTTAGCCCGAGAATAGCCGATGCCGTTATAGAAATTTCTAAATAATCCTTCCTGGTACGTTAGGGGAGGGGGAATCTACCGGCAATATACATTTATCAAAAAAGGGAAACTGGTAATAAAAATTTAAAAAACCAAACCGATTACATTTTCTAAAATTGGCCTCACCTATAGCAATTTTTCAATAAAGATTATAAATTTTTTCAGTTGAAATGTCTACATGAAACCCAGTGGAGTGCGATTAAGGGTAGGTTTTTTACTTGGCGGGGGTGAGGAACTCATTTCCTTCTTTCCATCTCTCTTCCCCGAAGGCATGTGCCAATCGCGTGGACTGCGGCAAGGCGAAAAGCCAATTCATCCATTTTTTTGCTATTTTACCGCCCCGTACCTTCGGACGCTCCGTCATGATCGATTGTTTAACAAAAAGTAATTACTGATAAATTATTACCTAGCCTGTAGAATCTGTTTTTTCTTTGGTGGTTGTTTTAAAATGTTCAGTGGGAATTGTCGTTACTGCAATGATTAAGTCGTAACAAAAAAGTAGTAAGGTAAAGGCTCAGGGTACGAAACCAGCGGCCCTGCATTTGAACCTTACATAGTTACCAATGGGCTTTTTTTCAAAAAGGCATTTTTGTCCACGAGGGTTGATATGATCTCTGCTGTTGCGAACCCTCTGTTTAAAAAAATAAATAAAATAAAAATAAATCGTGATAAGCAATCTAAATTATTAAAATCAATGGTCTTTCTTGTTCACTTTTCTAAACTGCATTTGCAAATTTGATAAATGTAATTTAAGTAATTAAGTTTCCAACTACATAGTTTAATGGTAAGGCTTTTTTACAAAATAATAAATAAAGTTTATAGCATGGTTTAAATCGCATAATAAAATTTGCATCAGAATATTAACATCGCTGTTTGAGGGGTGATATTCTTAGTTAACCTATGTTGTTCTTTGTACAGTATAATAGAAGAGTGCAACATATCGAAATTTGTGGCCATAGTGGTAGATTTTACAGCAGTCGTGGTATTTAAAAAGATACTTTTGATAACGCGTAATGACCAATAAGAGGTCACTCTTATCTGAGTTACTACCCTTATTTGATCAATCACGTTATGCAGTTTGACACCAAGGTTAGTTGTTAGTCTGTACTGGTGGTTAAGTATGGAGTCCAGAACTGCTTTTATATATTTACTTTTTAAGTTTCATTTACATTAACCTTTCATATTATACTAGTTGTCCACGTTTAAAGCAAGGGTATGTTTATAACAACCCCCAAATTATTGTAAACATTTTCTAACCTACAGTGTCTGTAATGGAAGTTCAATACGTTCTCAGAGTCGCAAGTCTGTTTTGGGATTTATCAGTGGACAATAACAGCGTTCCTTCGAAACTGATTTTAGGCAGGTGTAGTGTCCAATCTCTAATATATGCTACTGCAACAACATAAGCAAAACACTATTAGCCATGAGATCGTAGGTCGCTACTTGGATGCCCATGATTCAGCTCTGCTCAATTTTAAAAAAATAAAGTAATCTTTTTTTTAAGGCATGTACATTTGGTCTTTCATGCAAGTTGATGAGTGTGTCAGAGTTTTCCGTCATCTCGTTAAAAAATATTCAAACTAATTAAGGTTTTTAGTTGAGATAAAAAAAGTCAATGGCACGAGCGGGATTCGAAACCTCGATCTTCGGCTAGATACGCCGTTGCTCTACCACTTGAGCTATCGTGACCTCGATCCACTCGGACACCAACTTCCCATCTCAACCCCACCTTTTGAATTTTCCCTCCTTTTTGCCATTTTTCAAATGTCGTGTAATTAGATTGGATTCTCGGCAACAAATGGCAAAAAGGAGGGAAAATTCAAAAGGTGGGGTTGAGATGGGAAGTTGGTGTCCGAGTGGATCGAGGTCACGATAGCTCAAGTGGTAGAGCAGCGGCGTATCTAGCCGAAGATCGTGGGTTCGAATCCCGCTCGTGCCATTGACTTTTTTATCCCAACTAAGAACCTTAATTAATTGTAATATATTAATTGGTCAAGCGGACCACGAAATTAGTGAATTTAATATTCAAACTGTTGAACTGTTTCGCTGAGGTCTGCGAGTGACAAACATGTAGTTTTGCTCTTCTCTAAATTGTTTAATACATCTTTACATTAAAATGTCCGTATAGTTTTTATTTCTGAGTGTATTAAATTGGGCACTGCTTGATTTGGGAAGCCCAATGTTTTATATTGTTTTATTTTTCAGGTCCGCAGTGGATCGACGCCGCTCTAACGTACTAGCTACTCGCCTGGGAGATGAGACCGTCTAAACCCTTGTTTACATATTGATTTTTAAAAAAATTTAAGCGTAAAATTTTGAAGGGAAAAATTCAATTGCAATGGTGTCGATCGACACCGATCCTCTCGATCTCGTAGGGCTTTTCAATAAGGGGCGAATGAGATGGCGAGAATAAAATTTTAAAACGCGTTCCTTTTTTAATTGGAAACGACAGTTGGTGAGGAGGTGCACGCAGAAATTCGTCGGTAATTAATTAATCCTCGACCGACGAATTTCAATAAAAATGAGCTATCCCGGGGGGTGGCTATCGGTCCTGGGGTACGCGACGATTTAAAAGTGGCCGTACCGAGCAAAGATACCGTGTAGAGGGGATATTGATCGAACCTAGGGAAGGGGTTGTTATCAAGTGGCGCTGCGTTAGGCGCGGGTCAGAACCGTGTCGTTAGAGCGTGCATACTTAGTGCCAGTGCCAGTATAGTGCCTGTGCGCCCAGCAATAGCACTACGTTCAGGTATGCAATCCCATTGCGGACTTTGTGCGGCACTGGGAACTGTCTTCAGAAGACTTATGTGCATCGCTCCGTCGAGGAGGGGATCCCACGATAGTTATTACACAAATATCGAACGCCATGTAAGTACAAATCTGGGCAAAAACTCATAACACTGCTGGTGGTGGATTAGTGAATGTAACATTAACAATCAATTACAACATAGTTTTGTTGTACAAATGAAATAATACATGCATTTGAAAACAAAATAGATTCTAAGTCTCTCTCTCACTCGACTTTTTGTTTTTACACAAAGTGTCATGCTGAATATTTTGTGAAATGGCGAAAGTCAAACGTCTGGACCAATCAAATCAATTATAGTAATATCGGGCTGTGTATGACTATGTACCTGTTATGCACAGCACAACGTATTAATAACAAAAATATCGAGATAAATTCATCTGAATCTGTTATTGACCGACTCATTGCGGATGTGAGGCTTTAATTTCATTTATTTTCCTTAGTTTAGACAGTCATTATAAAAAGTTAACCGGTGGTAAGTCGTGACAAATAGTGAGGTAAAGATGACCGCATTATAATGACTGAAATTCAAAATTGTCTCGATCGGAGTAGATATCGTTTACACTTCATCCCTTGCCATTCACAACATGTGTGTACAAAGAATATTGCTCTAAAATAAACTAGAATGTGTACATAACTTTTGTAGTGTTGTTTATGGTTTAAACGTTTCTTATACCTTTATGACAATTTTATGAGCCTTAAGTTCGATACCTTAAAAGGTAAGGCGAAGGATTTGTTATCAGATTCAAATCGAAATTTAAATTTCCGCCTGACCTATGTCTAAATTAATTTCTTATTGTTTGTTTTCTGAAATTTTATAGAGGTTGATCCTAATTAGTAATTACCTTAATACCTGCCTTCTTGCTGTTTGTTTTGAACGTTAGCAGAGAAATTATGCATGGAAAATCGACATCGATTCGGTAGTATGGGCAATGGATGCGTGCGCGTGTGGAAGTTTAAGGGTATTAGGTTTGGATTAAATATTAAGTATCACCTTATGGTGATGAATATGTACAAAAAGGACGAAAATATCTTGCCAGACCCACACAGAAATTATGTCGCGATGTGATTCACCTTCCGTTTCACTTATTTAGTGGAAATGTAATGCAAAATTAAAACTATTTATAACCTAGAAAACCACCTTTTGAATGAGTGTAAGACGACTTTGAATTTAATCGATATAAAATCCTGGTTGGTGTGTTTGTTTTTGTAGATATAATAAACAAAGCTGTTAAATGTAAAGTCCTTTAGAAATATATATTTAGGCATTTTAAGTTATTGTTTTCCGGTTGCTTGCCTGTATCGCATATGCATAAAACGATTTCCCTAATCTCCCTTTAACATGTAAATCCTCGAACTCGCCGACCACCACCGGCTTAATCTAACAAATTTTCAAATAGATTCTAGCTAATAATAACCTTATACATATAAAATTTAGTTCGTATGTTGTTTTTATAAAACAAAAAAGTGCTGAAAACTCCGAAATCGATCGACCCCCTTCTGCCAGGTACTAGGAGTGTGATTCATCTATTTAATCTTGATTTGTCAAAGGCAGTCAAACGTTAATTGTTTGCCTACTTCAAGCAGGTCAAGTTCATATTGTCATAGATAAGTACCTTAGACATTTTTTTGTGTTAAATATAGTACATTGTTTTACTTCTGCTTATCACTCTTGAACCGAGTCACAAATGGGACGTTAGCTAATATTCACTTTATTAATATATAAAACTCAACTTTAATGAATTTTGAGTAAGTACTTATCTACAATTCACGATTGTTTTCGTCATTTTAAAAAGATAAGAAAAATTATCCTAAATTTGTTTTCAATCTTTCATAAATCTGAACTGTTTTTATCTTAATGTTAATAATATTAATTAAACCGAGAATAACAAAAGAGTTCTACACTATTAGCGTATTTAAATACGCATTTAAATAGCGTGTTATATAAATAATAATTTGAAGTAGGTCACACTGCCCAGTGGCAGTTCTATGGAAGTTTATAATTTTTGGCATCGTACAACACTAACTTGTCATCCGTAAATCGAATGTTTACATTTTATATTTTTATTTTTCGACTATTTATTTATTAATTATTTCTTTTTTTATTGTAAGATTAGAACCATGCATTATTGTTAAATATAAGTCATATAATAGTCGTATATCGTAAATGTATGTGTGTGTGTATATATATATATATATATATTNATATATATATATATAAACAAAGGAAATAATAAATAAATGTATGTGAAGAAAAAATATGAAAGAAAATGGAAGAAATGAATGGGCAGAGTCCCTAGGGTAGTTGGCAGAGTAGATTGCCAACTGTAATTTAATTTCGTCTTGTCTAATTAATCTAGTACCAATTATAGACAAAAACAAAAAAGCATAAACAATTTGTTGCAATGTCAAATTTGTTGTATTAACCTTTCTATTCGGTCAAGAGTACCGTTTTATCCTTTGGCTTTGGAATAATTCCTCAAAAGCCGACTCGCTCTATTAAACCAACATAAACGATTCAAGAAAATTTCGTATCCTGCCATTTATTTCGTTTCGTGTGTGAATGTGTGTTGCGTTTGCTTTCGACTGGATTTTAAAAAGTGGCTCAATAAATTGATTCGCCGGGTGGAAATTGACGAATTCGGGATTGCGGCCTGAGGAAATAAGGAAGCGACACCTACAAATAGCAGACCTAGAACTAATTGCAACTGAGTGCCTACTAGACAATGGGATGGGTGAATTATCCAATTTCCTCTCTGGCAAGGACCTATCTCCGATGTAACATCGCCTTACAATCCTGGACCTCTCCCCGCGCATTTTTAAATTAATTTGTTTGTTTGTCACTTTAGGAACAAAAAATCGATCGCTTTTAGATTGAAAATATAACATAGTTTAGAAAAGTGGCATAACCCGGCGATGTTGTTAGAGTTGGTTTTCGAAATATTAATTTTCCCTCTGGATTTTCTATATCTGACCCATTGTTGTTCTTCAAAGCAAACATATTGGAAGAATAAAACTTGAAATCAAAATCATTTAATTTAAAAAATTGCAGTCGCTTTTACGCATTAAAAATTTTTGGTTTGGTTCCTTTCGACGAATTTTATGGAACTCGTGTAAATTACATCCAAATATTTTTATGGAAGAATAAAACTCGAAATCAGTAGAATTATTTTTTAAAAATGCAGGCGTTTTTATATATTAAAAAAATTGTTGTTTTTTTGTGTAAATTAATTCCAAATATTTTTTAGAAAAAAAAATGCTTAAGTCAATAGGATTTAATCAAAAAAAGTTTGCAGTCGTTTTTATACATTAAAAAATTAGTTTTGTTTTATTGGACGATATTTTGTCTGAATAAAATTTGAAATCAATAGGATTTATTTAAAAAAATATAATTTGCAGTCGTGTTTACACATTACAAAATTTGTCTTGTTTTCCTAAATGAAGTAATATTAAAATTTGTAAATACTCAAATATTATAAATAGGAAGTTCTGTGATATGTTATGTCTAAATATATATTGCAGTGATCATGATAGTGTAATTTCTAAATTACCAATAATTGTTTTTCCTTACTTTTCTTTCCCATAATCACGTGCTGCAATTATTTTTTTCATTTCTTCTTGTTGGGAAAATTTCATTCTTTCTGTCGCAAAATTAAAATCGAATCAACTTATATGAAATTATGTCTGGATTGTTGAAGATCTAAAACGGACGTTTGGTTTGACCAAGGACAGGCCGTGTATGATCAGTAAATATCTCACTGCTGCCAAGTGAATTAAAATAGTGCAAATTTTAGACCTAGAGGTATTACTAAGTTTATTTCTATGTTGATGTTTCCACTGTACAAACATTGGCACTGCGTTGTTACAATTAGTCTGTTTTCTGAATTAATGAGCCCGATTTTAGCTCGTTCGAGTAGCCCATGTATTTAAATTAGTTTCGAAACTAGAAAGTATAACTGGCATTTTGAAATTGACAATCTCTTGGTGTATGATATACGTGTGTGATTGTATATTTAAACTGGCGTTGTTAATTCATTCGTCCGTCTTGTTTCTGCGACATGGATACTAGAAAAACAGTTTTACGCAGTATCATGAATGATGCCCGTGTAATTGTTTGTTTTCGACAGGATAAAACCATATCAACGAGGAAACCAGAATTGCCTTAATGATCATTCACCCATTATTCTCTCTTAATTCCTTGTTGGCCCAATTTAAACATGCGCATGGGTGCCGGATCTGTCGACTTAAGTGAACAAAAAAATTAATAGGTAATAAAATTGTAATGAACAAAATCTGAACGATGTAAAAATAGTTCTGTACCTTTGACAAAAGACATTTGAAATAAAACGCAATTATTGAGTACTCATTAATTGTTTTTTTTTCTTATTGAATGGTCATATTATTTGACTGTAGTAGAAATTGAGAGAGATCGGCATTGATAATTAAAAATTGGTGCACATGGGTTAAGAAATCCCTTAATTCTTTACACCCACTTATGCCCCTTCGCGGACTACACCCCTCACATCTATTTCATATTCTGTCCTTACCTTGCAGCAAAACCAACGCAAGACCGGCTAGACCTCATTACCGACTGGTGCATTCGTTGGCGCAGGCAGGTGCCGTTTAAACTTAGATTAAGTATCTGCCCACCAGTGCACGTGTACATACGATAATCCCCCAATCCAACCACATCCGCTACTTTGAGTTATAAACAGTATACACTCTAATTAGACCGATTTTAACGTAGGAAGACGGGCTATGGGGTCCAGCCAAGCCTTTCAAAGAATCCAATCTTTTCAATCAACAGTCCTACGTCGCATCTTCACAAAGACCTAGACATCTCATTCGCGACTGGCATGATCCATACACGATTCCACAACTTCCACTCCAAGCTCTCCTTCCACACCAACGCACTAGCTCTAGGCCTCTCTTCACTGTTCCACCCTAACAATCCACACCGTCTAAAAAGTCAGTGACCTCCTAACACAACCCCAAACCACAACCGACGACTCTACGACCAACCCTAAACACTAGTTCTTCCAGCAATGGCCGGCTCCCCCCC